GCTCTGTCGCCCAGGCTGGAGTCCAGTAGCGCAACCTTGAGTCACTGCAAACTCCGCCTCCCAGGTTCAAGTGATTCTCCTGCCTCAGCCTTCTGAGTAGCTGGGATTATGTCCCCCTAATTTTTGTATTTTTAGTAGAGACAGGGTTTTACCATATTGGTCAGGCTGGCCTCGAACTGCAAACTCCCACCTCACCCTCCCACAGTGCTGGGATTACAGGCATGAGCCACCGTGCCCAGTCTTCCATGGAATCTTTAGTGATTTCCTCATATCAGATGATGTTTTCTGTGAACACAGAGCATTTTACTTTTTTCCCCCACTGCTTGGCATTTCTTTCTTTTTCTCGTGTCTAATTTCTTCAGTCAGGATTCCAGTAACATGCTGAATAGAAATAGCAAAAGCAGGTTTCTTAGTCTCTTTCCTGATCTTAGAGGAAAAGATTTCAGGCTTTCACCATCCACTGTGATGGTAATTGTGGGCTTCTCCTAAATGGTCTTTATTGTGTTGAGGTTTCTTGTATTCTGTGTGTACTGAGTGTTTTTATTTCAAAATAATATTGAGTTTTTGATTTTCGATAGTTTGTTTATAATGTGTCTCTTCAATGGTGTGCTGGGGTTCATTCAGAAGGTGGTGATCTTACCATTTATTTCACTTTTTACATTGTGTGCAGGTGGTAAGTAGAAGTTGTGGCTTTTTTCTTAAGACGGAATTGTTTACAATTCTGTAGGCTGTATAAATGTACTACTGTTTGCTTGCTGGTTTTGTCATTGGTTACAATATTAATTAATTTTTTATTTTTTTTGAGACAGAGTCTTGCTCTGTCACCCAGGATGGAGTTAAGTGGCACGATCTCAGCTCACTGCAGCCTGTCTCCCAGGTTCAAGCAGTTCTCTGTCTCAGCCTCTCGAGTCACTGGGATTATAGGCACCCACTACCACACTGGCTACTTTTTGTATTGTTAGTAGAGACAGGGTTTCACCATCTTGGCCAGACTGGTCTTGAAGTCTGACCTTGTGATCCACCCACCTCAGCCGCCCAAAGTGCTGGGATTACAGGCCTGAGCCACCGCACCTGGCCCAAAATCAATTTTTGTGTTTTTTTTGAGACAGAGTGTCACTCTGTCACTCAGGCTGGATTGCAATGGTGTGGTCTTGGCTTACTGCCACTGTTGCCTCCTGGGTTCAAGCAGTTCTCCTGCCTCAGACTCCTGAATAGCTGGGTCTAAAGGTGCGTGCCACTATACCCGGTTAAATTTTGTATTTTTAATAGAGACAGGGTTTTGCTTAGTTGGCCAGGCTGGTCTTGAACTCCCAACATCATGATCCATCTGCCTTGGCCTCCCAAAGTGCTGGAATAACAGGCGTGAGCCACCACGCCTGTCCAACTAATTCTTATGATTTTACATATGGCTTTTTGGTATGAGGCCTGCAATATAACTGACACACTCCACTCAGTAATGTTACAAAGTGCCTCTGGGCACAGGGACTTAAGACTGAAATCCCAAGACTTTGGGAGGCTGAGGCAGGTGGATCACTTGAGGTCAGGAGTTTGAGACCAACCTTACCTCTAATAATACAAAAATTAGCCACGTATGGTGATGCATGCCTGTAATTCCAGCTATTCAGGAGACTGAGGCAGAAGAATCGTTTGAACCCAGGAGGTGGAGGTTGCAGTAAGTAGAGGTGTCGTCATTGCACTCCAGCGTGGGGGACAGAGCGAGACTGCCTCAAAAAATTAAAAATATAAACTTTTTTTTGGTAAAAGTCACAAAATACCTGTTCTCCCTGGATATATGTGATTTTATAACATTTATTTAGAAAAATATTGTATTAATATTTTCTTTTCCTTTTCTTTTTTTTGAGATGGAGTCTCAGCCGGTGTGGTGTCTCATGCCTGTAATCCCAGCACTTCGGGAGGCCGAGGTGGCGGGATCATGAGGTCAGGCATTTGAGACCAGCCTGGCCAAGATACTGAAACTTTGTCTCTACTAAAAATACAAAAATTAGCCGGGTGCGGTGGTGGGTGCCTGTAATCCCAGCTACCCGGGAGGCTGAGGCAGGAAAATCGCTTGAAACTGGGAGGCAGATGTTGCAGTGAGCTGAGATCACGCCATTGCACTCCAGCCTGGGCGACAGAGTGAGACTCCTTCTCAAAATAAATAAATAAATAAGTAAATAAATAAATAAAAGAAATGGAGTCTCACTTTGTCACCCAGGATGAAGTGCAGTGGTGCAATCTCGGTTCACTGAAACCTCTGCCTTCCAGATTCAAGTGATTCTTATGCGTCAGCCTCTTGAGTAGCTGTGACTACAGGCGTGGGCCACCAGGCCTGGCCAATTTTTGTAATCATTTCATCACTTCTCAGTGCTATGCTTGTTTCACAATACAAAATTTCCATTGATTTTGGTTATGCTTACATGAGCTTGTTGAGGATTATTTATCAATACAGTGTACTATATGGTTCTTGAGCATTTATTTGTATATGGTAAATATGCTGTAAATACGAAGAATATAAATTTTTCAATTTATTGAGGTGACAATGATATGTTTTTTGCTAACTGTTTTTTTTTTTTTTGTTTGTTTGTTTTTTTTTTTTGAGACGGAGTTTCGTTCTTGTTACCCAGGCTGGAGTGCAATGGCGCGATCTCAGCTCACCGCAACCTCCGCCTCCTGGGTTCAGGCAATTCTCCTGCCTCAGCCTCCTGAGTAGCTGGGATTACAGGCACGCGCCACCATGCCCAGCTAATTTTCTGTAATTTTAGTATTGACAGGGTTTCACCATGTTGACCAGGATGGTCTCGATCTCTTGACCTCGTGATCCACCCGCCTCGGCCTCCCAAAGTGCTGGGATTACAGGCTTGAGCCACCGCGCCCGGCCTTTGCTAACTGTTATACACTTTAGGGTCACAATGGAAAAATACTGCTTACTTGAGGCTTACAGATGTTTGTGCCCTGTCTCTGTGTGGTCCTGATATCGGAAATAGGCTTCTGTGGAAATGACTTGAAGTACATATAATCGACTTTTATTTAGTAAAGAATCTCACTCCTTTTGTGTTCCTAAACTTTGAAGATCATGTTTGGGAAACTTTTCTGTGTCATATTTACACATTTCAGTATTATTTACCATCTGTACTCAATTGCAAACCTATTGGTGTTTATATTTTGTAGATATCTCTTCCAAATGCATGATGAAGAAGTTCTCATTAACAGCACAGGGCAATACAGAAATGTTCCACACAGGGACATTGGAAACGCATGAAAGTCATCACATTGGAGTCTTTTGCTTCCAGGAAATTGAGAAAGATATTCATGACTTGGAGTTTCAGTGGGAAGAAGAGGAAAGAAACAGCCATGAAACTCCCATGACAAAAATAAGAAAGCTGACTGGTAGTACAGAGCGATACGATGAAAGGCATGCTGGAAACAAGCCTATTAAAGATCAGCTTGGATTAAGCTTTCATTCACATCTGCCTGAACTGCGCATATTTCAGACTGAAGGGAAAATTGGTAATCAAGTAGAGAAGTCTACCAATGATGCTTCCTCAGTTTCAACATCCCAAAGAATTTCTTGTAGGCCGGAAACCTGTATTTCTAATAACTATGAAAATAATTTCCTCCATTCTTCATTACTTACAGATCAACAGGACGTACGCATGACAGAAAAATTTTTCCAATATAGTGAGAGTGGCAAAGCGTTTAATTGTAGCTCACTCTTAAGGAAACATCAGATAATCCATTTAGGAGAGAAACAATATGCATGTGATGTATGTGGAAAAGTCTTTAATCAGAAGCGATACCTTGAACACCATCGTAGATGTCACACTGGTGAGAAACCTTACAAGTGTAATGAGTGTGGCATGAACTTCAGTCGGCAGTCAATCCTTGCACGCCATTGTAGACTTCATACTGTAGAGAAACCTTCCAAGTGTAATGAGTGTGGCAGGACCTTTGGTCAAAATTCAGCCCTTGTAATTCATAAGGCAATACATATAGGAACGAAATCTTACAAGTGTAATGAATGTGGCAAGATTTTTAAACACCCATCAATCCTTGCATGGCATCGTAGATTTCATACTGGAGAGAAACCTTACAAATGTGAAAAATGTGACAAAGGTTTTACTCGGAAATTAGAATTTAAAAGACATAAGGAAATTCATGGAGAGAAACGATGCAAATGTAAGGTTTGTGACAAGGCTTTCAGGTTTCCTTCACACCTGACACAACATACTAGAACTCACACTGGAGAGAAACCTTACAAGTGTAATGAATGTGGCAAGTTTTTTCGTCAAAAATCAACCCTTGCATGTCATCATAGAGTTCATACTGGAGAGAAACCTTACAAATGTGAAGAATGTGACAAAATTTTCAGGTGGAAACAAGACCTTGAAATTCATAAAAGAATTCATACTGGAGAGAAACCATACAAATGTAAGGTTTGTGACAAGGCTTTCAGGCGTGGTTCGTACCTGGCACAGCATACTAGAGTTCACACTAGTGAGAAACCTTACAAATATAATGAGCGTGGCAGGACCTTCAGTCGGATGTCATCACTTGTATTCCATCGTAGGGTTCATACTGGAGAGAAACCTTAGAAGTGAAATCAATGTGGCATGCTTTTTAATGAAAAATCAAACCGTTCATGTCATCATATACTTCATACTGGAGGGAGACCATAGAAGTGTAATGAATGTGGCAATGTTTTTAGTTGAAAAGCAAACCTTCCACATTACTGATTTCTTACTGGAGAGAAACATATAAGTGTAATGACTATGGCAAGATTTTAATCAAAAATCAAAACTTGTACATCATCATAGACTTCATACTGGAGAGAGGTTTATTAATGCTAAGAATATGACAAAATCTTCAGTCCTAAGTCACACCTTGAACGACATAAGAGAATTCATGCTGGAGAGAAACCATACAAATGTAAGGTTTGTGACAAGGCTCTCGGTGTGATTCACACTTGGAACAACATGCTAGAATTGACACTGGAGAGAAACCTTACAGGTGGAAGGAGTGTGGCAAAGCCTTTAGCGCACAGTCAGCACTTATTCACCATCCAGCATTCCATGGCATGGGGAAGCTTTACGAATGTAATGATTGTCACACAGGCTTCAGTAATGCTACAACCATTGCAAATCATTGGAGGTCCATAATGAGACATCCTACAAGTGTAATAAATGTGACAGACTTTTCAGACATCATTCAAACCTTGAAATTCCATGGCAAACTCATACTGGAAAGAAATCTTACAAATGTTATGGTCGTGGCAAAGTCGTCAGTCAGGCTTCACCTTATATAAAACAGGAGAATTCCTACAGGCGGGAAACCTCACTAGTGTGATGATCGTGGCAAAGCGGGTATTTCACGTTCACAAGTCATTAGACATCAGAGAATCCATACAGGACAGAAATCTTACAAATGTCATAAGTATGGTAAGGTCGTCATTCCAGGGTCACTCCTTGAAGAACGTCAGAAAATTCATTCTTGAGGTAATTGTTTCAAATGCAGTGAGTATATCAACCCATTAAGCATTAAGTGACGGAGTCACTCCCTCAACCGAGCAGGTTTTTTTTAACAGGAAATCCACTTTTAAAAAGGGAACACTTATGTCTTGATTTAATTGACTATGATACAAAAGTGTGGCCAGATTTAGTGGAAACCTCCTTCAGAAGAAGGTAACACTTATAGATGGCTCCTTGAAGGTAGTCAAGGGAAATAGTCACAATGGTTATGCAAGAATTGATGGAGAAACCCTTGAAGAAATAGAATCAGGAAGACTACCTAATAGTTGGTCTGCACAAGCTTGTGAACTCTTTGCGCTTAGCCAAGCCTTAGAGTGCTTACAGAATCCAAAGGGAATCATCTATACTGACTCTAAGTACGCCTTTGGAGTAACTGCTCATGCATTTGGGAAAATTGTGGCCGAATGGCGTCTTACAGTAAGAGCCAAAACCTGGCTCATGAGACATTAATTGTTCATGGTTTTTTTTTTTCCTGACTTTTTCTTAACAACAAATTGTTCCTGTTTTACATTTATTTATTTTTATTAAAAAAAAATTTTTTTTAAAGACGGGATTTCACTAGGCCGGGCGTGGTGGCTCACGCCTGTAATCCAAGCACTTTGGAGGCCAAGGCGGTTGGATCACCTGAGGTCGGGAGTTCAAGACCAGCCTGAGCAACACGGTGAAACCCCATCTTAAAAAAAAAAAAAAAAAAAAAAAAAAAAAAAAGACGGGGGTTTCACCATGTTGGTCAGGCTGGTCTTGAACTCCCGACCGCAGGTGATCCGCCCGCCTTGGCCTCCAAAGTGCTTGGATTACAGGCGTGAGCCACCACGCCCGGCCAATTGTTCCTGTTGAAAACAATCTCCAGCTTCCAGAGGAAATAGCAATTGTACATGTGTCCACACATTAAAAAGACTTCCTCTTTGAGGGGCGGGGGAAATAACCTTGCAGATCAGGGAGCCAAACAAGCTGCCATTTCTCCTGGAATGCCTATCTTGTGTTTAATCTCTCACCTTCCTTCTCCTGCAGTAGCTCCTATTTCTTCTCCCACCGAAAAAGAAAAATTGACAAAAATAGGGGCTAAAGAAAATTCGGAGGGTAAATGGGTATTGCCAGATCAGAAAGAAATGTTGTCGAAACCTCTTACAAGAGAAGTCCTCTCAGTTACAGCAAGGAGCTCATTGGAGGCCTCATGTTCTGTGTGACACAGTTCTCATATGCCTGCATTGGAATTTATATGTGAGACAAGTCACAGATAGTTGTTTAATATGTAAAAAGATGAATAAACAGGCCTTGAGGAAATTACCCCTTGGTGGAAAAATCCAGGATTCAGACCATTTCAAAGTGCTCAATTTGATTGTACTGAAATGCCCCAAATCAGTGTGCTAAATATTCATTAATAGTAGACCATTTTACTCATCGGGTAGAGGCTGTCCCTTTCTCGAGTGCAACTGCTAGCGATGTGGTTAAAGCATTACTTGAACAGATCATACCTAAGTCTGTGCCAATAGAAAATATTGATTCAGACAATGGAACCTATTTTACTGCACTTGTCATTAAAATGTTGGCTCAAGTATTACACATAAAATGGGAATATCATATTCCTTGACATTCATCTTCCTTAAGAGGAGTAGAGAGGATGAACCAAACTCTCAAAAGTCACCTAACTAAATTAGTCCTAGAAAGTCGGTTACCCTGAAATAAATGCCTTCCCGTTGCACTGTTAAGAAATCAGAACCGCCCCTCAGAAAGACGTTGGCCTGTTGCCTTATGAAATGTACGGGCTGCCCTACTTACATTCCACCACTGTCCTTCCTACATTTGAAAAAAAAAGATGAGTTTCTCATAAATTACATATTTGGTCTCTCCTCTATCTTTTCTTCTAAAACCAGAGGTCTTCTAGCACAGGCACCACCCCTGGAATTCACAGTACACCAGCAGCAACTTGGACACCATGTTTTCTTTTTCTCTTTTCTTTTTTTCCCCTGAGACAGAGTCTCACTCTGTTACCCAGGCTAGAGTGCACTGGCGTGATCTCTGCTCACTGCAACCTCCACCTCTTGAGTTCAAGTGATTCTCCTGCCTCAGCCTCCTGAGTAGCTGGGACTACTGGTGCACGCCACAACGCCAGGCTAATTTTTTTAATTTTTAGTAGCAACTAGGTTTCACTGTGTTAGCCAGGATGGTATCAAACCCCTGACCTTGTGATCCACCTGCCTCAGCCTCCCAACCTGCTGGGATTACAGGTGTGAACCACCGCACCTGGCTGAGACCATGTTTCATCAAAAGGTGGAAAGAAAAGAAGCTTGAGCCAGCTAGAGAGACCCCTACCTTGTGTCTCTAAACACTGAGACTGTAGTCCATACCCAAGTCAAGAAAGCATCATCGGTTCCAGAATCATGGGCTACCATTTCAAGAAATAATTCTACCAAAATAAAGCTAAGAAAAATCTAACCTTCCTGTGTTTACTGTTGTGTTACTTTTTCCTATCCAGTGCTTAGCTATTTCATCATTAACGTAACCAGATCAAACTCACCCTGAATTATTACTTTTGATGATGGTTTAGTCATGCCCTGCAGTAATTTACAGGACCAAAGACAGTTTACTGCTTCTGAGAAATATCTCTGCCCTTCCTGGACCTTCTGAGATTGGAAGGATATATTGGATTATTGCACAGATCATAATCCCGAGAATAGTAGTTGTGTTAGCTGGTGAGAATGGGATTCTTGTCCTTCCCAAACAGATTCCCTCTATTATATTTGGTCCAATGTCCTATGACGTACTAAAGGTCTTGGTTGGACTGTTCCCACAAGTCTTTGCCAGTCCTTAAGACCATTTGTTAATTTCACCAAAGGGATTGCTCTTCCCAATTGATACAGCTTACTAACACTATTGCAACATTTCAAAATACCTGTCTTTCATTAGGTCGTATTTATGGTATAGGGGCCAACACCTCAGGAAAGGACCCTAGGGGCTTCTTTGAAATATGTTTTGTTGCTCCTTCACCACCTCTATCCCGTCCTCCTCATACTATCTCCCCACATACCTAGTGACAAGACCAAAGTAGACAGTAGAGGTAAAAGATTTAAAGCAAAGCTCAACAATTGAGACGGTACCAAGATGCAAATGCCTGGCTGGAATGGATTAAACATTTCATTTGCACTTTAAACAAAAGTGATTGTTAGCTTGTGCGCCTGGTAGACCATAGACCCAAACTGTCCCCTTTCCACTTGGATGGTCCTCTAGTCAACCAGACACAAACTGTACGGTAGTTGTTTTTCAAGACTCCACAACCTGGATTAATGAATAGTGCCAAACTCTCTCTCTGCTATTTCCTGAAGTTCAGCACCCTGTGGGTCAGCCCCCAAGGGCCATCCAGCTTCCATCTTCCAAGACCAATTTTGCCTTGTGTCATGACAGGGAGCGAACTTGGCATTCCTTGGAAACTCCACAGGATGCAGTGAGATCAAGTCTTTCCAAGAGCTTACCCCTCAGCCTGCCCTTAGCCATCTTGGATCGGATGTCTGGTGGTATTGTGTGCAGGGCACACTGGGAGCCAGATGCATGGCTGATGCCCCACAGGGTCGTGGGGTGAACCTTATGCTGTGCTGAGGTGCAGGATCCGAGAAATAAAGAGGACACAGAAGTACAAAGAAAACGCAGCTGAGCTCAGGGGGCCACGCCACCTATAAGCAGAGTCAGGCGGGGCTGGCGAGGCCCCGAATGTCCAGAAGCATGAGTATTTATTGTGCATAGGTGAGGGGACAGGGCAGTGAGTGAAATCATCTTTAAGGATAGTGATAGGGTCGTGAGCAATAAAACATAGGGTCCACCCCCATTAGGTCACCTAGGCCAGGAGGTGGACAGTGCACAGCAAGGGGCCCGTTCCCATGAAGGCAAGAGCCATGTGCAGTAAGGGGTCCACCCCCATTAGGTCACCGAGGCTTGAAGGTGGGCCGTGCACAGTGAAGAGGGTGAAGTGTGCGATACTTCTATCTATGGGAAACTACTTCTAAGAAGATTTATGGGAGGATGCTTTAAGTCACATAGCAGTGACAGAGCTGTCAAGGTTACCGCCACCTTCTGGCAGCTTCCAATGGGTTCTATGGGAAGATGCTTTTTGAGCAGCACAGTAGCAAGAGCTGATAAAGTTGGCAGTCACCAAGGTGGATTGCCGTTCTGAGGGCAGCCTTCCACAAGAACTGGAGCAAGGTCCTACAACTCCTTTATCAGGGGGAGTGGCTCTCGCCCCAAGCCTGCCATACAGCGGGTATCTTTACAATACTGAACACTGCCGCCTGGGCCATGGATTCTTGTCCTGGTATAACTGTTTTTCCCTTAAATCATGCTCTGCACTGCATCTGCTCCAGGCATTCCTCCGATTATAAGCTGCTTATTCCTTAATTCATGCTCTGTACTGTGTCCACTCTAGGCATTCCTCCTATTGTGAACTAAGATATAATTATAGGTATATATGTAGGGAATATTCTTTAGGCACTCATACTATCAACTACTATATGATTATATGTAGAGGATT